AGATAGATAGATAGATAGATAGATAGATAGATAGATAGATAGATAGATAGATAGATAGATAGATAGATAGATATCGTTTCCCAAAAAAACATTAGCATTTGTTCACAAAAAAATTGTGTCACCTGAGAATATTTCCCTGAAAAACTCTCCATTCACGCACAAAAGTTTTTGCTTGAGAACGAAATACTGAAATATAATTGTTCCTCAATTCTCTTTTTTCTTTCATCACCATGTTTCTTCAGAGGCTCGGTGGATTTCCAAATGTGTTGTAACATGTCTTATTATGATGAGATATAATTTCGCAACAATTCTAAAAGATTTCCAAGAAAGGACAACCTTACAACCACAGGAATGAGCGCGACTCAAAAGAATCGGAACCATCGCGCACGTTCACCCGTTTCCACACGGAACTGTTATTGTGTGTGACGCGTTAACGCTGCGCTACTGCCACTACATGCGAATTATGATCAGTCCCAAACTTTCAGACAGTCATCGATTATTGAATATTTACAGGATTTCGTATACTTTTTAGGTAAGTACAAAATGCACGACATAGCTGTCATGTTTTCGCGTTTATCGGCATCTTGGTTGCAGCTACAAGCAGCACGTCTGCGCACTTTATTTTAGCGACGCTATTTAGATGTTATTTAGACTTTTATGCATCAACTAAAAATTTAAATTATGCATAGTTTGTTTTAATGTGCAAGTATTTAAGTAATCAATCATACATTTTAGATATTTTCGTTTTTTTTTGTTGTTTTTTTAAATGCCACCGGGTTAAAATGGAGTCTGGGGGTTTAATCTGCTGCCTGTGATTAATGGTTGTTCATTGTGTCAGTTTGTTAACCCGAGTGTGAATGTTTTATGTGCTGTAATTGAATGGGTTTTCACGCAGATTATGAATTTCTTCCGCAACCGTCTGGTGGTTTTGGGGCTGGTGTTGCTGGCCACAGTGCTGCTGTATCTGCTGCTGCCCTCCATGAGGCAGGGGAGCATGGAGCCGTCTCTGGAGGTGCAGCAGCGGATGGGCCTGATCGCCGCCTCTCCTCCTCCTCCGCCGCCAAACAGCGTCAACATCACGGTCAGGACTGGACAGCTGCCCGGGGACCCGCCGCTCTTCTTCAGGGAGGCTCTGCCTGTGGACAGCGCTGGGCGACAGATAGTGCCCAGGTCAGGTTACTTCGTAATTTGAGTTTGATTCCATTATATAATGACTGTATTGGGAATAGATAGACATCAGTTTTGGCGCATTATTGGCACGTTCCAAATTTACATCATAAAGCTGTATAGAATTAAATCTGATTAAAAATCGAATTTACGTCTAGGGGAAAGGCATTGTACCAGCCCTTACAATAATTAACCATAGTTTTATTGTAGTAAAAGTGTAGTAACCATGTTTTTTTGGCATATTGAATACCATTTGTATGACCACAGTATTACTACAAATACCACTATGTGTAGTATTAGGGCTGCACGATAAATCGAAATGGAATCGAGATTGCGATTCGACAGAAGCTGCGTTTGTCATGCATATCTTTCAGTGAAGCACGGTTCTGTGATCAGCAGTAAATGGGAAGTGGGAAGTTGTGGCCTAATGGTTAGAGAGTCGGACTCGTAACCCAAAGGTTAGGGAGTGAATGTACAGCGCTCTCTCTACCTTCAATACCACGACTGAGGTGCCCTTGAGCAAGGCACCGAACCCCCAACTGCTCCCCGGGTGCCGCAGCATAAAAGGCTGCCCACTGCTCCGGGTGTGTGTTCACGGTGTGTGTGTGTTCACTGCTGTGTGTGTGCGCTTTGGATGGGTAAATGCAGAGCACTAATTCTGAGTATGGGTCACCATACTTGGCCACATGTCACGTCACTTTTTTTATTTTTTTTTTATCTCCATCCAAAGGCCAAATACGCCTTGCAGAAGAAACCCAGAAAATGCCTATCGCTGAATAAACAGAAGATTCAACTGCTTTCATTGATTCAACGTGACTAATAAACACACGATGGCAATATACAGTTTATCTGAGTTCTAATTATTATAATTTTCATTCAAATAAAGTATTTATAATGCAATGCCTTTATCACTGCTTAAATACTATGAAATATGTTGCGTGCCTTATTCTGTGTAAGAGGCCACATCATCTCACAGAAGGATTTATTTCAAACACTCGACTGACGTTATGAAGTGAGTTTGGAGTAAAAATATGTTATTAAATGTGGTATTTTCACATGCGTTCAGATGGAGCAGCATTTACTTCACAGAGCCGTAGTTCACTGAGAAGCTATGCAAACAGCGGTCATTATCGCGAACGATTTCTTCGATTTCAGAATCGTGCAATAAAATCGTCTGCGAATTATTTTTTTTTGCATAACTTGTCAGTGAACTACAGCTATGTGTAGTAAATGCTGCTACATCTGAAAGCACGTGATGATGATTTACTGCTGATTACAGAACCGGCATTACTAACAAAATGCGCATGACAATCGCGTTCGATTAATTGTGCAGCCCTAGGTAGTATTGCAAAACCATGGTTAAAGGGTTAGTTCACCCAAACATGAAAATTCTGTCATTAATTACTCACCCTCATGTCGTTCCAAACCCGTAAGACCTTGTTCATCTTTAGAACACAAATTAAGATATTTTTGATGAAACCCGAGTTATTTCTGATATTTTTGTTTTCTTTGCGCACAAAACGTATTCTTGTAGCTTTGCAAAATTGAAGTTGAACCACTGATGTCACATGAACTGTTTTATCAATGTCTTTACTACGTTTGTGGTTCTGGAAACATTTCAGTTGCGTTGCTGTCTATGCAGGGTCAGAAAGCTCTCGGATTTCATCAAAAATGTCTTAGTTTGTGTTTCGAAGATGAAGGTCTTGCAGGTTTAGAACGACATGAGGGTGAGTAATTAATGACAGAATTTTCATTTTTGGGTGAACTAACCCTTTAATTTGTGGTTACAATGGTTTAAATATTAACAATGTTTTTTGGTTTTATTTGTAGTAAAACTTGGTAAAATGTTGTAAGGGAAAATACAACATTATAGCCTACATTTTAAAATGATCGAATAATCATTTACTAATTTCTCTGCACAATTATATCCCATATCCACAATTATATCCCATCCCATATTGATTTAGAAAGATTTAACCTTGCATTCGCTTGCAGAACTTTTGCGTTCTCTTGCAAAATATTGCATTTCGAAGAAACTTTGCATTCGCGTGCAAATCTTTTGCCTTTTCTTGTAAAATATCGTGTTCACAGAGAAACTTTGCATTCTCTCGCAAAATATTGCGTTTCCCTGGAAATGTTGCCTTCGCTTGCACAACCTTGCAAAAACCTGCAAATATTGTCTAACCCTGAGAAACTTTGCATTCACTTGCAAAGCTTTTGTTTTCTCGCAAAATATTGCATTTTCCCAAGAAACTTTGCTTTCGCTTGCACAACTTTTTCATTCTCTCGCCAAATATCGTGTTTCCCCAGGAAACTTTGCGCTTACTTGCAGAACTTTTGTGTTCTCTTGCAAAATATTGTGTTCACAGATAAACTTTTGCGTTTTCTTGTAAAACTTTTCGTTTCTCTCAAAATATAGTTTTTCCCCGAGAAACTCGGGCCCTTTTTCTCGCACAACTTTTTCATTCTCTCGTTTAATGTTGTGTTTAATGAGAAACCTTGCTTTTGCTTGTTACTTTTGGCTTCTCTTGCAAAATATTGTGTTCTCTTGCAAGATACTTTTGTGTTTTCTTGCAAAATATTGCGTTTCTCCGAGAAACCTTGCTTTCGCTCGCAGAATCAATTTACTTTAGTAATTTTGCAGAAGTAGACCTTTCGCCCTCACACGAAATTCCCAACTGTGTGGATTCGCACTGACTGGATTTCGCCTGTGAAAATTATTAGTATTAGTGCATTCTGGCTGGTTGCTAGGCAGTGACTAAGGTGTTCTGAATGTTGCTGTGGAATTTTGGCTGGTTGCTTGAAAGTTTTGATGGGTAGATGAACAGATAGACAGTTTTAATGAAAACTATGGTAACTATGGTAATTTTTGAACTTACAAAATTCTGCATACAAGTATTATGACCTATTCTTATATAACTGTACAGATTCAGCAACTTTTTCCTCTCCATCAGGCTGCAGTTGGTGCTTCTTCATGGTCAGGCCTTCACCTCTAAAACTTGGGAGGAGTTGGGCACCCTCAGCCTGCTGGCTTCCAATGGGTACCAGGCCCTCGCTCTCGACCTGCCCGGTACTTATAATTCACTTTATTAATGTTCTTAAAATGCTGATTTTTATATGTTCAAAACATGTAAAGCAGATCACTAAATCGTCTTGTTTCTTGTCAGGTTTTGGGAATTCTCCGGACTCAGAGTCGGTAAAGTCGGATCAGAGCCGCGTGGACCTGCTGAAGCGTTTTCTGGAGTCTCTGGGCGTGCGAGCACCGGTGTTACTGAGCCCGTCTATGAGCGGTCATTACGCCCTGCCATTCCTCCAGAAACACAGCGCCCAGCTGCACGGCTTTGTGCCCATCGCCCCCGTGGGTACCCGCGGCATCACCCCACAGCAGTACCGCGACATCCAGGTGTCATATTTCTTTTCGATTCTTCTCACACTTAAGAATTCCTTGATTTTAATGCTCAGTTTTAATTCTCACTTCTCATCTGTATGACAGACTCCTACACTGGTCATATATGGAGAGTTAGACACCAATCTGGGCGCCCAATCCCATAAGAACCTGATTCAGCTGCCTCATCACACCGTGGTGAAGTTGGCAGGAGCGCGACATGCCTGTTACATGGACAAACCCCGCGAGTTCCACCGTGCTCTGCTCGACTTCCTAAGCAAACTCGAATGAGGGACAGAGAGAGTGAGAATGGGTCAAACAAACATGTGAAAAAGACTTTGAAGAGACTGCGTGAAGAAAAAGACAAGAAAATTATGAACAGGACTGCGGTGTAGCTGTAAAACCAGTCCTGAGACGTAACACACACCTGAACGTTCTATCAGCCATCCACATCTGCTCACTCCTTATAAGTTCCCTGCGTGCACCATCAAGAGATGAGATATTATAATACATCAAACTAACAAAACTTCTGCAGAGTTACTATAGTAACGCTTCTTTTGTAAATTGTAAACATCCTTTTATCAGTTTTGACACTGTTGCATGTAATGGCCCGTCTGAACGTTGTTACATTTTCCAGGCTGAGGGTTGTTCTGTAATGCTGTTCCCAGGATTTCCAGTCTGAGGAATGTTCCTGTAACCACACAATAGCCATGGATACTTTTTTGAGAGTTGTTCTGTAACGCTGTTGCCAGGGATGTTCCTGTAACACAATTGCCATGGTTTCCAGTCTGAGGGTTGTTCTGTATAACGCTGTTGCCATGGTTTCTGGTCTAAGAGTTATTCCGTAACGCTGTTGCCATGATATCCTTTTAGAGAGTTGTTCTGTAACGCTGTTGCCAGGGATGTTCCTGTAACACAATTGCCACGGTTTGCAGTCTGAGGGATGTTCTGTAACGCTGTTGCCATGGTTTCTGGTCTGACAGATGTTCCTGTAACATAATTACAATGGTTTTCTTTCTGAGAGTTGTTCTGTAACTCTGTTGCCAGGGATGTTCCTGTAACACAATTGCCATGGTTTCCAATATGAGAGTTATTCCATAATGCTGTTGCCATGGTTTCTGGCCTGATAGATGTTCTGTAATATAGTTGCCATGGTTTCCTTTCTAAGAGTTGTTCTATAACGCTGTTGACAGGGATGTTCCTGTAACACAATTGTCATGATTTCCAATCTGAGAGATATTCCATAATGCTGGTTTCAGGTCTGACAAATTTTCCTGTAACATAGTTTCCATGGTTTCCTTTCTGAGAGTTGCTCTGTAATTCGGTTGCTAGGGATGTTAGTGTAACATAATTGCCATGGTTTCCAATCTGAGTTATTCCATAATGCTGTTGCCATGGTTTCTGATCTGACACATTTACCTGTAACATAGTTTCCATTCTGAGAGTTGTTCTGTAACTAATTTGCCATGGTTTTCTTTCTGAGGGATGTTCCTGTAACACAATTGCCATGGTTTCCAGTCTGAGAGTTATTCTGTAATGCTGTTGCTATGGTTTACAGTCTGAAGCACGTTCCTGTAATTCAGTTGCCATGGCTTTCTTACTGAGGGATGCACATTTAACACAATTGCCATGGTTTCTAGTCTGACAGTTGCTTTCAATAACATAGTTGCCATGGTTTCCATTCTGATGATTGTTCTTGTAACACAGGTGCCATGTTTTTTGGTCTTTGCTGTTCCTATAATACAAAATTCATAGTTTCCTCTATGAGGGTTGTTTTTCTAATACGATTGTCATGGTTTTCTGTTAACAACAAGAGTCACATAATGTCAAAAATCAGTGTCATGACTGTCATAACCCTCGGATACACTTGACATGTAACTGAATTCATCAATCCTACAAGAACATCTCAGAGAAGGAAACGGCATTTCTCATTTTTGGCATGTATTGGTTTGCCGTATCATCATGTGAAATCATGCAGAGTGTTCACACCAGCAGTTGGCACATACATGCATAATGTAGCATGTCAATGTGTGAATGGCTCAACACATGGTTTTAGAAGTGCAAGAATAAGAGAGATAAGTTGCAGTATTGGACGACTGTCATGCCTGTAAATTCAGTTTTTCATTATTAGTAGTTGTCAGACTCATACTGGCAGTAGATTATTTCTTGCAATAAATAGAAAATTTCCTGAGACTGCAGAGAAAAAAAAGTGTTCATTACATTACCACACCTGAAAATGGAGGTGTTCATTACATATTTATTATTTATTTCTTAAAGCTTCTACATGACAGAAACTCTAATGTGTGTGGTATTTATGTGCTGTGGTCTGTTGTTTTGTTTGTTTATAGGTTGTAAATATGAATATGTTTTAGAAGACTGTGAGGCACCTCTGCCCTGTAAATATTTCCAACATCACAAATCTTCAACCTGAAGGGATCTGTCATTGGGACTGAATTCAGATTCTGGTGTGCATGGTACTGCAGAGTCATAAAACATGCTTTTGTTCAATGCAAAATAAAGTTCATTAATGTTTTGCATTTGTGATTTAATGGACATACACCACAAGGGACATCAAGTTACAACCAAAAAATTGTGTAAAATAAGTATAATGAACTATGCAAAAAGCATTTCAATCACTTTACTGAATACTAGCCAGATAATAAATAAATGAGTATTACCTAACAATCCATCTGTTTTCAAATCCACATCATATGAATATCAGGACATTGATGTCTGTCAAAAAAGAATGTGCACAATACACAGCAGAACTTACGAGTCCAAACACCTCCATCATGTTTTATAATGCCCAAAAAAATCTAAATTACTTTGCCCTCACACATGATATCTTGTCTGTCAAAAACGTTGGAATATTAGAACAAAAACATTAAAGGGGTCATATGATGCTGCTAAAAAGAACATTATTTTGTGTATTTGGTGTAATGAAATGTTTATGCCTCGCCTTTCTGAAACGCGTAGATTTTTACAAAGCTCATCGGTCTGAAAAGCGAGGTGTGCTGTGATTGGCCAGCTATCCAGTGCGTTGTGATTGGCCGAATACCTCAAGCGTGTGACGGAAATGTTACGCCCCTTACCATACTGTGATGATGCCGTGTCAGGCCGGAGCAATGATTCAAAAACATGAAAACCCATTAGAAACGAGGCATTTGTTGCATCCAGTGGGGACATAATTATGGATTATAATTACTTGTACTGTCTTTTTTATGTTAAATACAACTTAACCACTGATTTCTAGTCGTGTCCATTTTTGGAAGACCAAACAAAGTAGTTTCGCTTTCACAATGAAAAATAGGGTCACACACGGCGGCCTTGAGTGAGCAGAGGCCGGGGGATAAAGTGAGGAATGGCCGGCGGGCTAGAGTGAGCAGTGGCGGCGGATTCGACGAAGGAGCGGCTGGTGGGCTTGCGGCAACCACATGTGACGACCCCGGACTGGACGCCGCTTCGTCCACGGTGAAAGCCGATCCGGCAGCAACAATACTACAGCGAGAATAAAAGTTACGCCTTCTTTCTTTGCGTGAACATTTGGGCGGCGTTATGCAAATCTTCCCACATAGTGAGGTAGATATGTGGGGGTGTGTTAGAACCAGCCGTTTTAGGTACGCGTAGCTGACTCTTAACTTTTATAAAGAATATCTCTTTGGATTTGAGACTTTAGTCTTTGCAACTTTACAGATCTTCTTTATGCACCAACAGCTTGTAACACTCCAAAGAGAAAGGAAAACTTGAAATCGCATCATATGACCCCTTTAACATAACACTCGCAGGCATCAATCACTTCACTGAATACTGGCCAGATAATAGATAAATGATTATTTATTACCTAACAATTTTCAAATCCACATCATATGAATATTATGACATTGATGTCTGTCAATGTCAAAATAATGTGCACAATACACAGCTGAACTTTTGAGAAGCAGGGGTCCAGGGAGTACACGCACTGCATGGAAATCCCACACTAACGGATGTTTTGACTAAAGCAGAAAATGGCAGTCTGAGTGGTTGTCTGTCATGTTGTCTGTCAGAGACCGTAACATACCTAATACATAATGCATGTGAGTATAAATTTGTTCTTGACTTGCTGAAATTGACAGGCATTTTTATAAAATGTAATTTTATCACTATCCTCTCAATTGTTTAAAAGATTAAGGCAATAATCAAAGTTTGACAAAATGTTGTAATGTTGTTTTGCAATAAAAGATGATACATTTGTAAAAATTGGTTACATTTATTTACCTCCAGACTTTTAGCTATATATACACACATGTAATAGTGGTATAATTATTATAATTATAGTATTTTTATTATCATAGATTCATTTCTGTGAACTTCAAAGAAAATAAAAAAGAGAAATGATCAAATCAAGTTTAAAAAGCTATAGGAAAAAGAAAAGTTAACATGGAAATGCTTATATAATAAATATAGACTTTAGTACACTTTACTTTTTAAGAATACTGGAAAAAGCAAGAAGGTATTTTAATAACTCTAAACGCGTGTGTGGGCGTGGCCAGGCGGAATCGAATGATGCTGACGTCATGACGCACACCGTGCGTCTCTCTTCGGGAAGATGGCTGCTGTGTACATGATGCGAAACTGAGTGGACGGAAAACAGCCCGAAATTTCTGAAAATCCCCCCTCTTCCCTCCTCTGTGTCCCACTCCACGTCCACACATATGCGTTTGCGTGAAAACGAAGCCGATTTTAACCTAGTGTGAAGAGCTAGGATGATAATATGACCCAGAAAAAGAAGAAGCGAGTGAATCGCAGTTTGTTACTGGCGAAGAAGATAATCATCAAGGATGGAGGAACGGTGAGTGCCTGCTGGATTCAAACACAACAAACACTCAAAAACATCTCAGATAAGAAGGCTTAAGTCTTAAATAGACGTATACAGAAGTATTATGTTAATGTTTGAAGCGAGCACACATTTGAAGAGTGTAACTGACATTCAAGGCTGTAAACATCAGCATTTACTTCCTGTAATGAGCAATAAATCACATCAGTACATCAATCTGAAAAATATAGGTGGTTTTATTAATGCACAGGGGGTTTGATGACACATTAGATAGGTTTAAAGCTGTTATTACTCATGGCTGTAAATATAATAAATTCTCCTGTTTGTAATCATACAAAACGCATAGAGAAAAACTTTAAATATTTATATAACTTACTTTACTATTATGGTGACGTTCAAACAAAACAGTATAAACATTTATTAGTATTGCTAAACCTAGTTTTACCTTTGTTTATGGTAGTAAACCAGTACCGTGATAAATATCAAAGTACAATGTTATTATCATCTTATGTTATCATTATACTGCAGTAGTTTCCAAACTTCATATCTGTGATTTGAGTATATAGTCTGTCAGACAACTCATAATAATCATGTCTAAGTTTGCAAGGTTTGGATATCTGAATGAATTTGTCATGAAATGTACCTCTTGAATGTCCTGAAAACAGTGTTATATACTTTATATTTATTAATTTGTTGAATTAGCTTTTACGTTTAAAATTCAGTACGTAGTATTTGTAGTAATTTTGTTCTGTGCTTTTGTCATTTTTAATAGTTTTTGTGTCAAATGTTCAGCTTTAGTCATTTTTGTATTATATTTCAGTTAGTCCTCAATGCAACATTTCAAATTTTTTAAGTTTTAGTAATTGAGTTATGTGCTTTAGCTATTTTTACATTTCTATTTAGCTTTATTTCACTTTTCGTACTTCATCGTATTTCAGTTAATTGCCAAGGCAATATTTTTAATTTTTGTTTATGTGCTTTTGTCACATTTATCTTGTTTTTTTATGTTTATATATACATTTGTTTAGCTTTAATTTATTTTTATTTCTCTTTAGTTTGAGTTATTTTAGTACTTCAGCTTATTTTACTTCGGTTGAATTTCCGTTTAAGTTTTTCATGTCATTTGACTTATTTTATCTCTATTTCGATTACTGAAAACTATTTTTTTATAGTTTCCATTAACAATAACAATTCTGCCTCAAAACAGCCATTTCTTTACAAATAAACCATTGATAATCAATATTATAATGGTCAGTAATTTGTCTAAAATGCTTTAAACTCAAATAAGCTCCTCCCATTTGTAAATGAGGTCAAGTCCCATTGAATCGCAGATCATTTGCTTTAAATTTTCATCTTCTCAACAGAAGCGACTGGCTTTTTCCCATGACAGAAGCAGACATGTTATCAAATGTCCTGCTCACTGGCTGTCATTGTAGGTTGTAATAGGGCTGAATTTGAACCTAGTTCCCCGGGTTCCTCTTTGGGTGTGTTTTATCTTGCCTGCAGCACAAAATAAGCCAGAATCTGCAGTGGTCGGCACTCAAAAAACAGGTGCATGAAAAGGTCACGAAAACATCTAATGCTCTATTTGGATAGATTAGGCCTCAAACAGTCCTTGGGGCTGTTCCATAAAACAAGTTTACCAAACAATCCAGGCTTATTTCAGTTAGTCTGACTTATTTTGAACCACATCAATTGACGATAAGTCAGACTAACTTAAATAAACCTGGCTTATTTGGTAAACTTGGCCCTTGATCATGTCATCTCGGTGTCAAAACCAAAACAAAGCTTTAAAGGATGTGTAATAATACTGGTTTGTTTCTTCACCGTGGTTGACGTCTCTGGCTCTTCTCTCTCCAGCCTCAAGGCTTTGGCTCCCCCAGTGTTTATCATGCCGTCATCGTCATATTTCTGGAGTTCTTCGCTTGGGGTTTGCTGACTGCACCTACTTTGGGAGTAAGTTGTGGTTGTTTTTGTGTTAAATCGAGATATTATCTCGTGTTTATTTCATGTTACGGGTGTTAGAAACCCATTGTATGCCTCTGTTGTTATATTGTGTGATATGATCATGCAGTTCGAGATACCCTTGCATGGGCGTCATAACCAATGCTGTTTTGTGTCTCATGTGTCTGCAGGCTCTTCATGAAACATTCCCGAAACACACGTTTCTCATGAACGGCTTGGTTCAGGGGGTCAAGGTATCATCTGTAACATCATAATGTTTATGTCCTGATAATCCAGTTCATGATTCATTAACGCCGTGTTTTCGTTCGCAGGGCCTGCTGTCGTTTTTAAGCGCTCCTCTGATTGGTGCTCTGTCAGACGTGTGGGGAAGGAAGTCGTTTCTTTTACTCACCGTGTTCTTCACATGTGCACCAATTCCTTTATTGAAGATCAGCCCATGGTACATTGTTTCTTTTTTTTTTTTTTTGGACACAAAATAAAAGATTATGTAGATTTATTTTCATGAAATTTAGAATCTGAAATTTCAATTGAAAAGAAACGTAATTTTAATTTAATGTAAGTTTTATTTTGTTTTTAAATTAAATTTTTAATTTAATGTTTAAGTTTACGTGATTTGGATGTCTGAATGTATTTATCATGAAATGCATCTTTTGAATGCCCTGAAAAAAGTGTTTATTTAGTATTATTTATATACTATTATAATGTTTATTAATACTTTGAATTGGCTTTAATTTTTATATTTTCAGTCTCAGCTTTTTAGTAGAGTAATTACATGCGTTTGTCATTTTTTTGGATTAGTTTTTAATATATAAATGTAGGTTAAATATTTTAATTTAATAGATTTTTTTTGTCATTATTTTATTTTTGTTTTTAATATTATTATTTTTATAATTCATCTTATATTTTAAACAGTTATGTTTTGTTTTTATCTTAATTTATTCATAACTTTATTTAATTTAAATATGTACACAAGTTATGAGTTTTATTTATTTATTTTTTTATTTAGTTTAGTTTGTATTTTGTTTTCTGCATTTACAGTTTGAAATATTAATAGTTTAGTTGCGTGCTTTTGTCATTTCAAAATATTTCAATTGTTTTATTTTTTAATTTCATTATTTTAATTTTTTGTAATTTTAGTATTTAATTTAATATTAACCTAATATTTAATTTATCATTTTAATTAATCTTAATTTTTAAAAATGTATTATTTGTTTTTTTTCTTAATAAAAATAAGTTTAAAGTTTAAATAAGTTTAAGTATTTTTCGTATTATTTTCTGTCTAGTGTCAAAATAAAATTACAATTAAATAAATCTAAACCAAAATAAAAAAAATAGTTATTGTTATATAATATACTGATTATAATATTGATTAGAAGCTGATACAGATCATCTCAAAAATCCCAAATATCAGTCTCACCGATATATCGGTTTGTTTCTATTTTGTAATACACATGCACATCTTGAATCACATGCATGTTGTGTTTCAGGTGGTACTTTGCCGTTATCTCTGTATCTGGAGTGTTTGCCGTTACCTTCTCAGTTATTTTCGCCTATGTTGCCGACATCACCCAAGAGCATGAGCGCATTATGGCTTACGGCATGGTACGTCTAACCCATCAACACGTCGTCATCATCTCTCTTTTTGCTGCTTTGTTTTGTATTAACGTCTCTGTTCTTCCTCCAAAAGGTGTCGGCCACGTTTGCGGCGAGTCTGGTGATCAGCCCAGCCATCGGCGCGTATCTGAGTCAGGTGTATGGAGACAGTCTGGTAGTAGTTCTAGCTTCGGCCATCGCTATGCTGGACATCTGCTTTATCCTGGTGGCCGTGCCCGAATCGCTGCCGGAAAAGATGAGACCGGCGTCCTGGGGCGCCCCAATCTCATGGGAACAAGCAGACCCCTTCGCTGTAAGTAGATTTAACCTTTTTGAGCTCGTTTAAAATGAATAATCTACCAAATAATCGGTTTTATCAAATTAACTGCATTGCAAATATAGTAACTTGAGCGTGAGTGTTGGCTGGAAATGTGCATTTTAAAAACAGAAGATGCCACTTTGCTCATATCCTGTGTGGTTTTCGGTAGAGAAGCGTTTTAACGCCCATTTCCCCTCGACAGCATAATGGAGTTTTCTGGACGAATGTCATATAAGGCTGTTTTCACACGTGGTTTGTTCTAAAGAGTTCCTCCCACGAGATTATTCTTGGTTTTGATTGGTTAATGCAGTCCTGCCAAACTTAGAAGTCACATTTTAAGGTTTGCTGTTGCGCATGTGGGCTCAAAGCACATAAACGAATGCGATGCGAAAGATCTCAGATAGCGTTAGTAAAGCATGTGTATGTACCTTTTAGGGTTTTTATGATTTTTTAAAATCTTCTAATAACATAAACATATATAGAATTTTTCATTTTAATGTTAAAGTTTGCAAGGATATCTGAATGTATTTGTCGTGAAATGCTTCTCTTTTAATATTATTTATATACTGATAATATTTTATTATAATCTAATTTAATTCTAATTATTATAATCTAAGTAATTTTTATGTGCTAATGTCTTGTGTAAATGTCTATTTTGCAATTGTATAACCTTTAGTTGTTCAATTTTGTATTAATTTATATACCTAAAATATTTATTAATAGTGTAGTCAAGTTTATAATTTTTTAAAATATAAATTTAATGACTAATAATTGATTTTTTCATCTCAAACTGCATTATTACAGCACATTGTGTGCAATATTTGTATAAATAGAGATGTGTGTATAGTAAAATTCTAACCAATGCAATTTTTTATGTTATTATATTTTATTGAGCAATGATCTAATAAATGACTGATACTAAAATAGTAGAAATTTCTAAATAAATTAAAAACTAAAACCAGTATTTTTAAATACATTGCATTTTAAAAGATTACTTTGACAGTGTTACGAAATTCTTAAGAATAATTTTAAATGCTAAATGTGTTAGATGAAAAAATATGAGAAATTCTGTGTACATTTAAAAAATTGATGCATTTAAAAAAGTCTTATATGAACACAGATTTTCTCTACAGTTGGATGGGTCAAGACTCATTGGTTCCGCTCAGCTAATTTTTCATAGGACCATTGATACGAGTAACAAGATTGTAAAATTGCTGAGGTTTTATTCTCTGAAAAAAGTTTCATATCTGAAAGAATTGTTTGGTGAAATAAAACATTTCCTGAGAAGTCAAAACAGAATAAAGTCGTAAAACTATTTGCAAGATTGAAACAGAACTGTTCATAGAGCTGTTGTTAAATCAAGACGAGTGTTACATTCACACACAGCTTGGTTATAGATGTCAGTATCTTTCTCTCTGCAGTCTTTGAGGAAAGTAGGCCAGGACTCGACGGTTCTGCTCATCTGTATAACAGTGTTCCTGTCGTATCTGCCTGAGGCTGGGCAATACTCCAGCTTCTTCCTCTATCTGCAACAGGTATGGCATTTATCTCTGTGGTTAATCTTTAACTCGCTGTTTAATTAATTGTGTTTACTGGGTCAAGTCTGGTTTATCGAAATCCTGTTAGCAAACGGGACCGTAAAGATTTGTTTTATCCTCTTATGCAGATAATGGGATTTTCACCTGAAAGTGTCGCAGCTTTCATCGCTGTCCTAGGATTGCTGTCTATTGTTGCACAGGTCAGTATTTTCCTGTTAAATACAAACTAATAAAGGATGTTACGTCATTAGTTTTTAATGTGGAGTATGTCAATTGTGGCTTTTTCCATCTACAGACTGTAGTATTAAGTTTACTAATGCGTTCCATCGGGAACAAGAACACAATTTTGCTGGGACTGGGATTTCAGATTCTGCAACTCGCCTGGTACGGGTTCGGATCGGAGCCTTGGTAAGACCGAAAGCCTAGGTTTTCATTTCTAAAATTGATCAAAATAAAGAGAAAAATTAAAAACAGGAATATTAAAAAAAAAAAATTTGGTTGAACTGTAGCTTTAAGAATAATGTAACAGCTAATGAGTCTTTACTAATGAAATGTCCAACGCATCGTTTCCGATCTCCAGGATGATGTGGGCAGCTGGAGCTGTTGCCGCCATGTCTAGTATCACTTTCCCTGCTGTTAGCGCCCTGATTTCCCGCACAGCTGATCCCGATCAACAAGGTTGGTTTTCCTGAGTTATATGATGTTACAGATGCAGGGTTATTCTTTAAGGCTGACTGTAAAGCTCTTGTTTCTGTAGGTGTGGGTCAGGGTATGATTACGGGAATCCGTGGGCTGTGTAACGGTTTGGGTCCGGCTCTCTATGGTTTCATCTTCTACATCTTTCATGTCGAGTTGGACCAAGTTCCAGAGAAAGAACCGGATGTAACGCATCACCATGATCACCACCAACAGGTAAGTCACCGCACGTTGTTGAATTTAACGGAACCATGCTGATTGCTGTTTACTGACAATTTAGGTTTGTTTTAATGGATAAATTAGTTTTTAATAATAGACACTAAAGTTTTGTTAATGCTGAAAGCCGATGCCAGTAAACATTGAAGTATAAAATATTTGCGAAGATTTTTCATGACATTGCATAATTTTTTGATTGAAAAAAACTCAACCTAGCCTTTGCAAGCCAAGCAGAAACAATTTTTTAAATCGTTCGCAAAACCACTTGCTAGAATTTAAGCAGAGTAAGTTTGTTGTTAATTGTTTGTAGAACTGTTCGTAAGAATGAGTAAATACAATTTGTGTAAATTGTCCATAAAATTATAAAAAAAATTTAAAAGTCTAGTAGAATATATTTCAAACTATTTGCAAGAATTCGAACAGAATGAGTTTTTTTTTGGTAATTGTTCATAGATCTATTCGTAAAAAATCTTAGAAAAGAACCAGTTTGTGTAAACTTTAGAAAATTGCAGAATTTGTAAATTGCTCGTAGAACAATTCTTAAGAAATCAAAGCACAGTGTAAATTTAAATAGGTAATAAAACTATTTGCAGGAATTTAAGCTGAACGAGAATGTTGGGAATTGTTCGTAGAAGCATTCTTAAGAAATTGAGCAGAACCAATTTGTATCCATACTACGTAAAATTGGAGAATTTTTGTTTTGTGGAAAAAGAAAAAAAAAAACCTGAAGGAATTTTTTGGTACCAATTTGTAAATTGCTTGTAAAACAATTCTTAAGTGGAAGCAGAGTAAACTTGTAGATTTAACCTTTTTGAGCTCGTTTAAAATGAATAATCTACCAAATAATCGGTTTTATCAAATTAACTGCATTGCAAATATAGTAACTTGAGCGTGAGTGTTGGCTGGAAATGTGCATTTTAAAAACAGAAGATGCCACTTTGCTCATATCCTGTGTGGTTTTCGGTAGAGAAGCGTTTTAACGCCCATTTCCCCTCGACAGCATAATGGAGTTTTCTGGACGAATGTCATATAAGGCTGTTTTCACACGTGGTTTGTTCTAAAGAGTTCCTCCCACGAGATTATTCTTGGTTTTGATTGGTTAATGCAGTCCTGCCAAACTTAGAAGTCACATTTTAAGGTTTGCTGTTGCGCATGTGGGCTCAAAGCACATAAACGAATGCGATGCGAAAGATCTCAGATAGCGTTAGTAAAGCATGTGTATGTACCTTTTAGGGTTTTTATGATTTTTTAAAATCTTCTAATAACATAAACATATATAGAATTTTTCATTTTAATGTTAAAGTTTGCAAGGATATCTGAATGTATTTGTCGTGAAATGCTTCTCTTTTAATATTATTTATATACTGATAATATTTTATTATAATCTAATTTAATTCTAATTATTATAATCTAAGTAATTTTTATGTGCTAATGTCTTGTGTAAATGTCTATTTTGCAATTGTATAACCTTTAGTTGTTCAATTTTGTATTAATTTATATATCTAAAATATTTATTAATAGTGTAGTCAAGTTTATAATTTTTTAAAATATAAATTTAATGACTAATAATTGATTTTTTCATCTCAAACTGCATTATTACAGCACATTGTGTGCAATATTTGTATAAATAGAGATGTGTGTATAGTAAAATTCTAACCAATGCAATTTTTTATGTTATTATATTTTATTGAGCAATGATCTAATAAATGACTGATACTAAAATAGTAGAAATTTCTAAATAAATTAAAAACTAAAACCAGTATTTTTAAATACATTGCATTTTAAAAGATTACTTTGACAGTGTTACGAAATTCTTAAGAATAATTTTAAATGCTAAATGTGTTAGATGAAAAAATATGAGAAATTCTGTGTACATTTAAAAAATTGATGCATTTAAAAAAGTCTTATATGAACACAGATTTTCTCTACAGTTGGATGGGTCAAGACTCATTGGTTCCGCTCAGCTAATTTTTCATAGGACCATTGATACGAGTAACAAGATTGTAAAATTGCTGAGGTTTTATTCTCTGAAAAAAGTTTCATATCTGAAAGAATTGTTTGGTGAAATAAAACATTTCCTGAGAAGTCAAAACAGAATAAAGTCGTAAAACTATTTGCAAGATTGAAACAGAACTGTTCATAGAGCTGTTGTTAAATCAAGACGAGTGTTACATTCACACACAGCTTGGTTATAGATGTCAGTATCTTTCTCTCTGCAGTCTTTGAGGAAAGTAGGCCAGGACTCGACGGTTCTGCTCATCTGTATAACAGTGTTCCTGTCGTATCTGCCTGAGGCTGGGCAATACTCCAGCTTCTTCCTCTATCTGCAACAGGTATGGCATTTATCTCTGTGGTTAATCTTTAACTCGCTGTTTAATTAATTGTGTTTACTGGGTCAAGTCTGGTTTATCGAAATCCTGTTAGCAAACGGGACCGTAAAGATTTGTTTTATCCTCTTATGCAGATAATGGGATTTTCACCTGAAAGTGTCGCAGCTTTCATCGCTGTCCTAGGATTGCTGTCTATTGTTGCACAGGTCAGTATTTTCCTGTTAAATACAAACTAATAAAGGATGTTACGTCATTAGTTTTTAATGTGGAGTATGTCAATTGTGGCTTTTTCCATCTACAGACTGTAGTATTAAGTTTACTAATGCGTTCCATCGGGAACAAGAACACAATTTTGCTGGGACTGGGATTTCAGATTCTGCAACTCGCCTGGTACGGGTTCGGATCGGAGCCTTGGTAAGACCGAAAGCCTAGGTTTTCATTTCTAAAATTGATCAAAATAAAGAGAAAAATTAAAAACAGGAATATAAAAAAAAAAAAAATTTGGTTGAACTGTAGCTTTAAGAAAAATGTAACAGCTAATGAGTCTTTACTAATGAAATGTCCAACGCATCGTTTCCGATCTCCAGGATGATGTGGGCAGCTGGAGCTGTTGCCGCCATGTCTAGTATCACTTTCCCTGCTGTTAGCGCCCTGATTTCCCGCACAGCTGATCCCGATCAACAAGGTTGGTTTTCCTGAGTTATATGATGTTACAGATGCAGGGTTATTCTTTAAGGCTGACTGTAAAGCTCTTGTTTCTGTAGGTGTGGGTCAGGGTATGATTACGGGAATCCGTGGGCTGTGTAACGGTTTGGGTCCGGCTCTCTATGGTTTCATCTTCTACATCTTTCATGTCGAGTTGGACCAAGTTCCAGAGAAAGAACCGGATGTAACGCATCACCATGATCACCACCAACAGGTAAGTCACCGCACGTTGTTGAATTTAACGGAACCATGCTGATTGCTGTTTACTGACAATTTAGGTTTGTTTTAATGGATAAATTAGTTTTTAATAATAGACACTAAAGTTTTGTTAATGCTGAAAGCCGATGCCAGTAAACATTGAAGTATAAAATATTTGCGAAGATTTTTCATGACATTGCATAATTTTTTGATTGAAAAAAACTCAACCTAGCCTTTGCAAGCCAAGCAGAAACAATTTTTTAAATCGTTCGCAAAACCACTTGCTAGAATTTAAGCAGAGTAAGTTTGTTGTTAATTGTTTGTAGAACTGTTCGTAAGAATGAGTAAATACAATTTGTGTAAATTGTCCATAAAATTATAAAAAAAATTTAAAAGTCTAGTAGAATATATTTCAAACTATTTGCAAGAATTCGAACAGAATGAGTTTTTTTTTGGTAATTGTTCATAGATCTATTCGTAAAAAATCTTAGAAAAGAACCAGTTTGTGTAAACTTTAGAAAATTGCAGAATTTGTAAATTGCTCGTAGAACAATTCTTAAGAAATCAAAGCACAGTGTAAATTTAAATAGGTAATAAAACTATTTGCAGGAATTTAAGCTGAACGAGAATGTTGGGAATTGTTCGTAGAAGCATTCTTAAGAAATTGAGCAGAACCAATTTGTATCCATACTACGTAAAATTGGAGAATTTTTGTTTTGTGGAAAAAGAAAAAAAAAAACCTGAAGGAATTTTTTGGTACCAATTTGTAAATTGCTTGTAAAACAATTCTTAAGTGGAAGCAGAGTAAACTTGATTAGTTTAAAACTATTTGCAAAAATTTAAGCAAGATGAGTTTATTTGTTCGTAAAAATATTTGTAAAAATTTCAACTGAGAACCAATTTTTGTAAAATGTTTGTAAAATTGCAGAACTTTTTTATTCGGTGAAAAAGTTTGTAAGTGTTCGGTACCAAGTTTTTAATTGCTTGTAAAACAATTCCAGGCAGAATTAATTTAAATCATTCTTAAAAATATACGCTAGAATTCAAACAGATCTAATGTGTGTAAATTGTTGGTAAAATTCCAGAATTTTTGGTATCCAAGCAATTCAAAACTCAGTCTAGCCTCTGTATGTAAAAATTAATGAATTATCACACTACAATGTTTTTTCAGTAGGTTGAAAGAGTTTATAGAGATGCTTTTTAAAAAGTAATTGCGTATAGTTTAGTTTTGAAAATTTGTTTCTAAATAGGCCTTCACTGTAGACTGTAGTTTTTGGAAAGGTTTTTGACTTTTGTGTTAATCGTGTTCCCGTGTCATGTGATCCCCTTACAGAGTGCAATAATCCCGGGACCGCCGTTCCTCTTCGGCGCATGTTCTGTGCTGCTGGCGCTCCTGGTGGCACTTTTCATTCCTGAACACCCCCATATGGGCGCTCGTGCGGGCAGCTGGAAGAAGCACACGTCACCCCACGGCCACCCGCACAGTCCCCACCCTCCCGGAGAGGCCAAAGAGCCTCTCCTACAGGTGTTTCACGTATGATTGGGAGTTTCGATGTGGCTGAATTGGCCACGCCCCCTATTCCCCATTGAGGAACGAACTGCGCATGGAGGCTGTTGTCATTTATTGAAACGTAAAGCTATGTCGGAGGCACGGTCAGTCTTGCACCTAGAGCTCTACCTTTCTGCAGAGTTTCGTTTAATATGAAACTTATGAACTTGATAATTAAGGTTAATGGAAATTACAGACAGAAAGGAAAGTCTCCATGATTAAGACTGGGCGTCCCGGGAAAATGTTTAATAAAATTTTGGGGAAAATTTCGAGGGGGAAAATGGGATGTTTTCACAAAATTATGGTGAACACATTAAAATTGTTTTTGTTTTGTTTTTTGAAAAAATAAAAAAAAAGTAATATTTTCATAAAAATGTGTTGAAAATGTTATAACTACTTTTGGAAAATATGTGTAGGGGATATTTTCACAAAATTATTTTTTTTAAAATACAAATTTGGGGGAAAATGTTTAATATTTTCACAAAACTGGTGAAAGATGTTATAAAAATTGTATTTTTATAAAACATACAAAAACACAAACATTTTTTAATATATTTTCACAACATTATAGTAATGTAATAAAATTTGGAAAATGTAATTTTTTTTTATTTTTTCACCATTTTTATTTTTTGGAAAATTTTACATTTTTTATTGTTATTTTTTATATTTTCAGAAAATTATGGTAAAATGTAAATTTTTCACAAATGCACATTTCCAAAAATTTTTTTTTTTTTGGAAATTCAGTCTAAAATATTTTCTCAAGCAGATTTTTGGGGCGCTACATGTATTAATCATCATTGTTCAGCACCAGAGCGAGACTTCATAATCGACATGAGCAGCCAAAACCATCTGCTCCTGCCACAATCGACTGTCTAGAATACTATGGTTAAGTGCCAAAAATGTTATTATAGCAACTGCGGTAAATAAAACACTACAAATCGAATCAATCCAAGCACAAGCACAAAAAAATTAAAAAAAAAATAAAAAAAAAAAAAAAAAAAAAAAAAGAAGTAATTTTTGGACATATTGTGCTTAGGTTTGGAAAAACAAATCAGAAAGAATTGTGTACAGTGTGAGCAGAGAACATAATAATAAAAAAACCTAATAAATGTAGGGAAACAAAGATGGCATAAGAGAAAAGAGGAGGAGATGAGGCCTGCCTTTGGTCCAGACGTCTGATTGTGTGCTGACAGGACAGAGCGAGGTCCTGAGCTCACACAGGACAGAGGAAGAGGATATTTGGAGTTTATTGTAGAGGTGATGGGGAAACCATGTCCCAAAGACGAGGGGAAACCTTTGCTATCAAGCTAGAGAAGACAAGAACAGCTACATCATTTCAAAAGACCAGTCCAATCTCACACGTAAAGAATCAAACTGATAGTTACTGCTTGATTTCCTGCTACATCTACAGACAACAACCTGCTTGGCGGATTTTATGCTAGACTTTAAGTGACAGCAGTTCATTACCATATTGTGAGGAACACTTCCTGTTCTCAGACCAGCGGCAGCAGTCTCGAACATTCCTAAAGTTTCCTGCTTCCGAGAG